TCCTTCGGAAGGCTTGTTTTATCGGCGTTCAATTCCGTGTTTTGCCCCGCGGCCCGAGAAACGGCCTATCGGGGCGTCGGATTTCGCAGCGGCGCGGATTAATTCCGTCGCGTCGTTCATCACTGTCACCGGCGCGTCGGCCGTTTCACGAAACAGAGGGACAAAAGGCGACGCGCGACAGAGACGCAAAATCGGTCATTAATCACTCATTCGTTCGCCGGCGCGCGGTCTTTTTGCTCCCCGCCGGGCGACGACGGTCCGCGCTTCGTCGTCGTCGTCGTCGTCGTCGTCGCGCGACATACCGGACTCCTCTTTTTCCGCTCGCCGACGCGACAGACTGGAAATCGTATAATATTTGCTCGAGGATGTTCCGCGTCGCGTTCAACCGTTCCCGTGCCTCCACCCCTCCCCCCCTCCGTCCCTGATAAAAAAGGAAAGGCTCGACGACCGTGGCGCGCGTTCCCTCGCAAATCCATCGGCCTGGTAGAACGATTTATCTCGTCGCGTTCCACTCCACCTGTTTGCAACGCTTTGTTCTTCTCTCCTCCCTTGTTCCGTCGACGATTCTTGCGCTCTCGCGCCCCGCGTTTCGGTGTCCTCCGCGACGTTGAAACGGGAACAGCTCGGTTATCCTCGCCGCGAAATCTCCGCCGGATTTATCGCTGGAAATCGGCCGGTCGACTGATTAAGAGTCCGCCGTCGCCGCGACGGAGCCCCGACGACGGACTCGGTTAAGTTAATCCATTAGCGGCGTAGCCGAGAGGGTTTCCCGATTGCCGGAAAAGTTGCCGGGCAGCCGATACGACTTGTTAGAGAAGTTCCACGCCGTGTCTTGTTGTCTGTCGCGGGGCCGAGGGATGGCCGGGGTGGTATCGAGGAAAGCCCGGCAAAAGGGCGACCGACGGCAAGCCGATGGACCGTTTCCATTAAGAGCGCCGTCGGAGTCGCCGTTTCGCTCGTCTCTGAATCGGATTTCTCTGGCAGGAACGCGTTTCTCCGCGGGCGTTAAAGAGTTTTCCTGGAACGTCGTTGCTTTGTTATTTTATTATTGTTATTATCGTTCGTTTACGGGAAGGGAACACACGAATGGATCACGGACGACTGTGGAAGACGTTTTGTATCTGACGCGCAACGGGAGCTTTTAGTTCGGTGTTGTAAAGAATGGGTTTTTAGCCGTATATACAATTCAATTACATTGAATCAAATTCAATTAAATTGCATTAAATTGAATTATATTGAATTAAATTGCATAAAATTGCATTAAATTGAATGAAATTAAATGAAATGAAATTATGAGCGTGCCTCTGTTAGATTAGAACGTGGCTCCTGAGTCACGAATCCTCCTCGACTTAGAGGAAAAAATGCAGTCGAGGCGAACAAGTTCGGCAGAATATTGCAAGGAATGCAGGAACGTCGACGCTAAAAGTTTCATAGCTCGCCGAGTCACCTACTAACGGGTTATCGTCCCCGTACGGAATAATTGGGCTCGTAACATTTGTTTATTGGTGCCGGATTGCTCGTTTGGAGACGTTGGCGTTTCCCGTGCTCCTCGGGAGACCCGGTTGAATGCGACGTTCCAGACGTGACACGCTCGCGACGCGGCTGTTTTTTAACGCGACGCGACATTCATTAAACTGAAAAGGATTCTTTTTTCTCCCCCCTCTCTTTCTCTCTCACTCTGTCTCCCTATCTTCGTTCATTTAGGGGCCACCTCTGCTCGCTCGCACGTTCGCTCTTTCGCTCTTTCGCCGGCGAGATAAAAGAATCGGGAGAACAAGTCGGCTCCGCGCGGCGAAAGCAACGAACGGAAACGCCATCGGCTGCGATAGGATTAACGTCGTATTTTGTTTTAATCACTCGCGACGGGGTTATCGGGCCCGTGGCCGCAGTCTCGCTCGTGTCCGTCGCAACGGAACGAGGAGAATTTTCCTAGCCGAATCGCGCGACACGCGGTGCAACCGGGCCAGGAATGCCCGACGGGGTGGTTCTTCGCGGTTGCCATTCTCGAGCGTCGCCGAACCGTTTCGTTTTATTTGGAAAGTAGTATCCGCTTATTAGAACCGCGAGTAATTATTCCCGGCGCGTCTGTTTGTCTTCCTTAATTAAAACCGCCTCGCGGCGCTCCGCAGCCCCGAAGAAAAGCCCTCGTTCTCCTCGGACTCCGAAAAAAAAGTCAGCGGGAAGCATTCAAGAGGCCCGCGTTTCGCAGGGTTTCCGGTTGCACCGTGCCACCGGCGACGTTCCTGCGAAATTTCTCGGTCCAGGATATCACCGAAAACTCGACATTATCGTGATCGAAGTGGAAATGGGAGATTTCTCGGCTCATTCGAAGTAACTTTTTCCTCAGCGAGAATGCAATCCGCGGCTTCGTTCACGAGTTATCAACGAAAAACCGTGACCAATGAGAGACGAGCTCGGCTGGCGCGTGGTGGCCGAGCGAACGAGTGGGGGAAGTCCAGTTCCGCCCATCGGCACCGCCGCTACGCGCCAGCCAAGCTCGCCTCCCATTGGCCACTGTTTTTCGTTGATAACTCGTTAACGATGCCTCGGAGAACATTTTTGTAAAGGAAAAAGTTGCTTCGAACGACCACGGGAACCTCCCAGTTCCGGATTGCGAGACACTTTTGGGACACGCTGTATAGTCTGCGCGCGCGAACTTCTCGACGTATCCCGGGGGAACGCGGGTATATCGGGACCGGTTACCGCGACGACCGAGAGGGATGCCGGAGCACTTTGGTAATTTTTCCGGCGGCCGTGGAGGCGATGCGGCAGCGTTCCGCGGGACGAGACGCGTATTTTCCCGGCTCGGCGGCATCCGGGCGAGATTCCACCTTGTAAAAAGGAAGGAACAAGAGCGACAACGACGGACCGAGCGAAATCCAAGAAGAGCGTCGTAATGCTTTTCTCTCTCTCCCCCCCTCTCTCTCTCTCTCTTCGCGGCTCGTGTTTACTGCGACCGAGACCCGTTCCCGGCTCTCGAAGAGAGGGAAGAAGCGTCTGCCGGATAGGGGAATGATTTAGCAACCCCTTGGTTTCAGTCTGCAGAAGTGGCCTGGTTGAAAACCGGGTTGAACGAACCCTCCGCGAGCACCGCCTGGCCACCTACGTCGACGAGCCACGGATCTACATGAGAATAAACGCCGCGCCGCGCCGCGTCGCGCCTTCTGACCGTACCACGATGATAAATGGTGCCATTTTATGGCCGACCATACACGCTCGACCCCGCGCCATGAATACCGAACGCGCTAGACAACCGGGACACCCCGTGCTAGCCACGTGAAAATTATACCCCATAAACTGCCGGTACCCGTCAGCCTCGCGTCCATACTGACGGCTGATACATGATCGAGAGGTGATCCAGCCACCTCCGAGACGTTCGCTCCACCCTCCCTCCCTTTCTCCCTCGCTCGCTCGCTAGCTAGCTCGATCCTCCGACAGATTTACCACCTAAACTCCGCTTTCCTCCGAACCGCACGCCCCGTTTCTTCTATCTAAAATGCCTCTGTCTAATTTACACAGCGTTCGCGACTTTCGCGTCAACGCGAAACCATAAAGTCCATACGCTTTTCCTCTTCCTTCCTGAAAAGGGAGGCTCTCCGCGGTCGTTTCAACTGTTTAACCAGTTGGCTGTGTTTGACGAGTGTTCTCGTCGTGGAGAGGCGACAGCGTTTTGTGTCACGACGAGTGTACTCGTCGCGCGTAAAAAGTAGCGACCATTGGCTATTTAAATTGTAATTTTGGGGAACGCGAAGACATATTCTGAAATTTCGAGATGTTTGGAATACTTTGAGATCCGGCTGGGATAAAATAAACAAATAAAAGATATGAATAATAGGGGTTGAATAGTAGCAGTTAATAATTACGACTGTCACGAAATTAGAATTTGGATGGAATGTTCGTAGCTCCGGGTCCAAACGGACCCGGCGCCCGCCATCCGAGGGTTGATTCGCTTCCTTGAAAGCCGTGACATTATTATATATTATATATATTATTATATATTATTATATATTATTATTAATATTCCTCTATAATATTTCTTTCGCCTCGTTTAGAACCTCTGCTATCGCTCATCATTTGTTTTTTAAATTATCTTTTTAATCATCTTGGTCCTGCTATATTTAGTACCGAATCCAAGTCTATCGATTCTTCTAAATTTTTATTCCTCCTTCTCCTACGCAACAAAGGGTTTTCCCGTCGAAATCACCGCTCGATGAATAAATTCTTCGGAACAACAACAAGTTCCAATGTCAAAAAATTCTAAAGAAAATATCGCGGAAAGATGACTCGAAATTAGTCGACCACATATTGTTTTCTCACCGGCCAAAGGGACGATCGGCGCCGTTCCAGTCGTCGTCCTCGCGCTCGTCCTCTCGACGTTCCCCTTCGCAAGCCGGTGACCAAAGAGCGCGAATCTTGGGCGCATCCTTGTGCGAGCCAGTGATCGCCGGGCCGGGCGATTATCGGTTAAACGGCGAGCACGGAGCGTTATCGGCGGTGCGTAAGGCCGGCAGCGCGGCGAGTTGGACATCGATGTCGGATATAATTATCGGCGAAGGTGCGGTTCTACGTTGGCGCGGCCGTTACGGCAACAAAGATTGATGGTTGCCGGCGAGGTCGCGTCGTTTGCGGACAGCAAACGTAATTTGCGGAAAGCTGCCGATACGCGGCGGAATTCTCGGAAAATAACCGGGGCTGGGTCAAGCCCGCCGCGGGGTCGTCGACCGCCTTTGTCCGCAAGGTCCCCGACACGCGTTCGACTCGCCGGCGGGATTGTCTATTTTCGCTAATTAACCGCCGGAAAGGTTCGTTTTCATTAGCCGTCTCGCGGCGGCCGGGGGCGAGCGTCCGGCCGCTTCGCGATCGCCGGGAAAAAGTCGGAGGGAAGATTATGTAGCCGGCGCAATTTCGCGGCGAAGTTGCCAGACAAAGCGTTTTCCGGACGCCGCGTATATATATATACGTATACGTATAAACGGGAATCTTTCTCGTTCTGTTTGCAGGGCACGAAACTATGGATTATTATGGAGTACTTGGGTGGCGGCTCGGCCCTGGACTTGATGAAGGCCGGCAGCTTCGAGGAAATGCATATCGCGGTGATATTGCGCGAGGTCCTCAAAGGGCTGGATTATCTTCACAGCGAGCGGAAGCTTCATCGCGATATTAAAGGTGAGTCTCTGCCGGGCGATTATTCCGGCGCGTGTAGAGAAATCGTCGGCGAGAGACGGAAGATCTCGATCTCCCCGATCGCGAGCCCTCGTCGAGGCGTCGGATCCAAGACGAATTACCGTCGTTCCTTGTCTCGTCCCTCTCCCCTCGAAAGCAGCTCCACGAAACACTCGCGAACGTCCGTCCGCAGCTCCCGACTCGTTAGCTTTTCCAGCAAAAGATTCGCGACGCTGATTGTTTGCTCTCGTTTTCAAGCGGCGAACGTTCTGCTGAGCGAGATGGGCGACGTGAAACTGGCCGACTTCGGTGTGGCCGGACAGTTGACCAACACGACCAGCAAACGAAACACTTTCGTCGGGACGCCGTTCTGGATGGCGCCGGAAGTGATCAAACAGTCCGCCTACGATTCGAAGGTAATTACGCTGTCCCAATAAGACCGTCGTCGCGTCCCCTCCCGTCGCATCGTTTCCCGGGGCTCTCTTTTAGCCCTGCAATTCCAAGACCCGCCGTTTGCCGCGATCGAGTCACGTAATCCGGGCTGATTTCGTTTGGAAACTTTGCTTCTCTGGAACCACGGATCTTCGACGGGTAGATTCGATCTTGCCGGCTGCGCCGCCTCGGTCCACATCGATCGGGACTCTTCGGGGCCCGGATCGAACTGTGTACAGTAATTTCTCCCTAACTGACGCTAAGATTGTGCACGAAAATGGACAATTTAGGGAGAGGAGATTATTCGAGCCTTGCAGCTCGTTTTTATAGTTACGAATTGTCAACAATCATATGAACGAGCTGCAGGGCTCGTATAATCGTATCTCCTCTTCCCAAATTGTCCATTTTAGTGGAGCGTCGGTAAGGGAGACGTTACTGTGTGTAGTTCCGATTACCGTCGCGGTTCACACCGGCAATTTTTACCGGGAAATTTTCGCTCGTCCCGTGAAATCGATTTCTAGGCCTTTCCACGGCCTACTCCGGAGCCGCTCAGAATTCTCGCGAATCGGTCACGCTGTCGTTAGCGTCCCATTAGCGTGCCACCGTCGGTAAAACGTGGACCGGATCGTTCCGCAGGCTGACATTTGGTCGCTGGGCATCACGGCGATCGAATTGGCCAAGGGAGAGCCGCCGAACAGCGAGCTGCATCCCATGAGGGTGCTCTTCCTCATACCGAAGAACAATCCCCCGCAGCTAACCGGAAATTACACGAAGCAGTTCAAGGAGTTCGTCGAGGCCTGCCTGAACAAGGACCCCGAGAACGTGAGTCGATCCCCATCCAACTGCAATAATGTCTCTCTAACTGACGCTCGGATTTTGCTTCGAGTCGGTCGAGCGTCCTCGAGCACTTGTACGCTATCGGTGCACCGTTTGTGTCGTTGCCGTTGTTTCGCGGCTCGGAGGACGAGCTCCGGTTTCTTCGTAGTACCCGATGTCGCGCGCGAGATCATCCTCCCTATGTTTTTGCGCCGAGTGTAATAATCATTCTTCCGGCCGGTCGGTGCAGAGGCCAACGGCGAAGGAGCTGCTCAAGTTCCAGTTCATCAGGAAGGCGAAGAAGAACTCGTACCTGATCGACCTGATAGACCGGTACAAAAAGTGGAAGTCGCAGCGCAGCGAGGAATCCGAGACGGAGAGCGAAAATTCGGACTCGTGAGTATACAAATCCCTCCACGACAGCTGACATACACGTGCCTCCAAGAATGTTGGTGCTGCGGTTTATTGCTTGTTGTAAAATGTTCATTCGTGCTGAACAGTCTTAACATAGTTTGTAATAATAATAATAATAATAATAATAACAATAATAATAATAATAATAATAATAAATAGTAATATAATATAGCAATATAATAATATAAATAGTAATAAAAATAGTAATATAATATGGTAATATAATATAAAGTATTTAACCTAAGGAGACGACATATGTACAGTGATGTTGATTAGCATTCGGACACCTTTTAAAACGCGACAACTTTTTTAGAACTAGTCTGAACGTCTAAAAAAATTCAAGTCGTTCAGTTTAATTCTAAAACAGTTATTGCGTTTTGAAAGGAGTCCGAATATTAGAGTCACCGTACATAAAAGTCCGCGAAATAAGAACTGCACAGTTTCTCTGCTGCTCGAACAAAACTAAAAAAAACAAACAAACACTTGACCGTTACAAACTCGTAGCTTCGCAACCGTCCTTCGACCGCTGCACTGCCGAAGATCCGAAATCAAAACAAACGCTCCACTCGACTCACACTCGCACGAGCATACACATCGTTGACCTTCAACGATTGGGACACATGCTTATTTAGTTCATGGAATCATCTCGCCGACAGTAATAATAACATAAATATAATTTTCTTTCGCAAAAATCGACGTTGCTTTCATTACAACGTAAACTATATCGATGCACTTGTTGCAGTTTAACATAACTAACTTCGGAAACAATTTTTTTAAATTATAAGTTAAATTAAGTCTTTTAAATTACATTTTGATTATAATTTTTAAATTATTATATATATATATATATATATATATATATATATAATCTCACGTCGGATTTTCACGTTCATCTAACTTCCCGCAAGTGTCCTAATACAATTTTGGAGGGGTGTGTACATCGAGTAGAAAGGATTCGAAGGATCATTTGTTTCCAGGGAGGAATCGAAGCAGGACAGCGACATGGACGAGCCCTGGATAATGACGGTGAAGGGACCCCACGGGATGAAGGGCCCCGTGGTGCCCATGCTGCCACTGGACGAGCAGCCAGCCTCGTTGACCCTAACACACACGACCAACCATAATCAGCAGACGAAGCCGCAGGCGAACGGAGCGTCGAGGTCTCCGCCGAAGGATTCGACGTTGAACCATTACAGAAGCGAGACGACGGACTCTGTCCGCGACGGGCAGGCCAAGCACACGCCGGTAAGCTGCTAGTCCCGCGAAACCGCGATTATGCTCGGCCAGCGGCTTCGGTAGCTTAAGGCCTTTGGTGCTCGGCCGGTTGCTCGGTTTCTCGGTCGCTCGGCCGTCAGCCGCGCACCGCCCATTTATTGCTGCAAGTGCTGTGCAGCGAGATCGCACAGTCTCCCGGCGCTTAGACTCGGAGATAATAAGCAAATAAGCATGCGACGGGGACTACGGCTTCGTCTTTGCCCCGCGGGCTTATCGAACCGCATCGCAAAGCCGTAAGCCGCGCGCCGCAAGGGTAAGGAAGCGATGCAGCTGTACCGTCGGGAGACTTAGCCCGCTTTGCGGCAAAGGCCGACGAGTCGAAGCATTTCGGTGTCGCATCTCTGAGGTGTTCGTTGCGTTTTTCCAGTCGCGGCCGCACGAGGCAGCGCCACCCCCGCCGGTGGACACGCGAGAGAAGCGGGACGACCGGGATTACAGGGACTTCGACAGGAACTCCTTGACGAGAGAGCTGAAGAAGCCTCGCGAGGCCAGGGACAGCAGGGACAGCAGGGACAGCAGGGGCGAGGCGAGGGACAGAGGAGACAGAGGAGACAGAGGGGAGAGAGAAAGACGGGAAAAGGACGTGAATTCGAAGGAGTGGATGAGGCTGGACTACAGGCCGCCGGAGAACAAGCAGAGGCCCAGAAGCTCGCAGGAGCTGAAGCATCCGCGAAGCGCTGTCCTCTCCGGTGTCGTTTTACCCCTCCTTTCCGAGGTAAATATCCTTCCGCATCGAGAACGCTGCGGGAACTATTCGAGATAAGCGAACGACCGGTGGACGCGCGAAAGGTTAGACCCTGAAGACGCCTCGAGGTCTAATCTGTTCAGGCTCCGTCGGCGTTCCGTTGCCGAGTCGGAGTCCGCGGGGAGGCGGCGCGCCGATAACGTTGAATTATAAGATGGTTGTCGACCTTTGTTCCTCCTTATTTGTCCCAGCTTCAACGGAAGCATCAATATTCGACAAGAGACAATAACGGCGAGGGCGGAAGCAGCATTAGCAAGAACGGAGGCGCGATAGAGGAACTGCGCACCGCGTTCGAGACGGCGGAGCGGAATTCGCCGGGGATGACCGAGGCTCTCGTCAGCGAGCTTCTCAAGTCCTTACTTCCTGCCAACCACTCGGAGGGTCGTCTGTCCATGCTGATGGAGAAGGTCAGTCTCAGGTAACGATCCGCTCCTCTTTTCTTTGGTCTCTCGCGACGAAAGGGTATCCTTTCGATCCGCCTGTCGGGAGAACTTGGGATTTTTACTCCGCAACGGCGCGCTGTGCTTTTCCTCCAGCCGCGACACACCGGAATTTCGTAGAAAGTCTCGCGGAATTCGAAAGAGGCCAGCATGCCGTTGCGGTGTCGAATAAAAATCGCGTTCTCGTCGACAGTTTTAATCCTCGACGTGTTTCATCGCAGTGCGACCGTTGTGCTTGTTTCCAGGGATACGTAGGGGCGCGAGAGGGCGAGGGTTCGCAAGAGAATGTGGTCCGAGAACATCTTGACGTTGTAACGACTCGTTAATTCTCGTTTATCAGATTTATTATTCCGTTACGAGTCGGTACGTTGTCGACGAGTGCCGGGTCCGAACGTGAGGCAGGAAGCTAGAAGAAGAACGTCGCTGCAACGGCCCGGACAGTGTTTTTTCTTTTTCTCTTCGGTCTGCGACGAGCAGAAGCCACGACGGAGCTTGTCCGTTTCGCTTTCAACGTCACCCCCGACACGAGCCACGAGCAGATGCGAGCAGACACGAGACGTTCCAGCGACGCTTCGCGACGCGATTTAGTCCGATATATATTTTGATTTCTATTTCATCGACGATTCCGTTCGAGAACAACAGATGCGAAAATGTGGGCGAACGAATGACAGCGAGCGAGCGAGCGAGAGAGGGAGAGAGAGAGAGAGCGAGAGAGAGAGAGAGAGAGAGCAAGTTCTATCTAGATCTATCCGCTAGAGTAACAAGTTGTACCATCCAATCGCCGCCGCGCAAGGCGACAGTTACCGTTTTAACTCCTGAAGATATTAGCCCCCCAGTATCCCACCCAGAAAGAACAAAAAAACGATCGTTAACGAACCGTTAGTATATTTCGGGGAGAAAAGAAATACCGGAATAAACATAAAAGAATTAAAAAATGCGCAAGACGTAGGTGATAGTCGAGAAATATTTTTGCAAATCATGCAGCCACACCCGTTCGGAATTCTTTGTACGTTCTTCGTGTTTCGGTATCGACGCGAGCCTCGAGAGCAAACTGGAAAAGATGCGTGGTGCGTGTGATCTTGACGGATAGAGAAGAACAAAAAGAGAAAAAGGGTACTTCGTTGACGGGATCTTCTTGCCTCATTGTAGATACATCCGGAACATGCACTATCCACACATCATCTTACCAGAGATCGTTAGAGACTTATCGTAGACGTGTTCCAAATCGCATCGGTATACCAGACCAGTAGAGACGTTATTTATTTAAAAAAGGAAAAGAAAAGAAAAAACGATTCGAAACGGAGGAACGAGAGGGCGGGAAGAAGAAGAGAAAGAAGAAGAAGAGAGCGTGCTCGGCAGCCGGGCGAAGAGATAAACCGTTGTCCCGTCGACGCGAGCAACGACAACCGTTCACCGTTGCTTGCCGCGTTTAGTGCACGTTTCGGATTCAGCAGGGGGGAGGGGCGGGGGGTGTCGAAGGAAGAAGGATGCCTCCAACTGGCCGGAGGCTTTGTACATATGTATGTAGCACGATAAGATAGTCTTATTGTTCTGATGATCGACGTCTCTGCCACTCGGTTGCGCAGCTCCGCAATACGATCTCGTTGTAACCGCGTTTCTAGCACTATTTTGCCGATCGCGTGACCAAGCTGACCATGCTGACCAGCTGATCGGCCGATCAGCTGGGGAGACGATAGTCCGTCGGCTCTCTCGAACGAGGTGTCAAAGGATATACAGTATTTTATTAGCCACTATAGTCGGCACGAAATCGCTCGACGGCTCGGGATCGCTGTCCTCCCTCTTCGAGGATCACTCCCCCGCTATCTCTTTTCTCGCTCGAGCTCTCGCGATCGTCGACATCGGGGGGGGGGGGGGGGGCACAAA